TTTCCCACCTTGTGGTTTTTCCTTTCCGCACTTATTTTTTTGTGTGATTTTTTTTAAGTTTTTCTTTTTTTTTGGAATTGTTGCAAAGTTTGCAATGCAAACCAAACCAAAACCAGAGCTGTCGAAGCATATGTTTGCTTTTATTTTGATTTTGTTCTATATATTTTTCCACCCACAAAATCGTATTTGCTAATTAGGTGAGGAGTATACATATAAAGCTGAAAAAGTCTGAGCTGCGGATGGACAACATGGCGTATGAGTGTCAAGTGAAAGAAACTGAAAACTTCGCGTCATGTTTATGTATGAAGGGAACAGGAATAGGGTGACTTGTGGGTGGTTTTACTAAATGGAGGGGGACTATGGAAATATATTCACACATTCGTGGCCAGAGGGCACAGCAGGTGACTGTCAACATATGCCAACATATGCTCGTACCAACACCCGTATTAAATCCCGAATGAGAAAAAATGCCAACGAAAAAAGCGGACTTTTAGTAGAAGCTTTTATTAGTATTCAGCTTAGATGCCGCCAACAGATTCCGGCCACTCAACTTTAATCAAAAACGGAAGTGCAAACGCTGCCCACTTCCGGTTAACTTTTTTTCGCGACCAAAATATAAAGAAGAAAACGGAAATGCCAAAGAAAAATTAAAAGCTTGGCGCGATTTCAAACTTCAAAATCACAACAGACAAAGTTTTCGACCTTGGTATTTGTCTAGGAAAATACAAAGAAGAAAGAGACAGGAAATAAGGAAATACAGTTCTACTTTATGCTGTCTCATCAGTGAGCGTGTGTGTGTGTTAGGGACAGCTCAATATGTGTGGGTGACTTTCAGCAAATGGATTTCTACGTGACAAATCTTTATTTAATTTCAAAAATGCGAAATAAACTTTGACGTCTGTTGAGATTTATGTGAAGGCAATATAAATGCGAAGGCCCCCAATCCCTGATCCTTGATCCTTAAGGATGCAGTGGAGTGGAGGGTGGGCGGACTGTTTTCTAAAAGTTTTGACTGCCTTGACGTTTTAGTTTTAGCAACAGAATCTTTAAGTAATAACACCCAGACCAAGACCGGCAAAAACTTTTAGCCCGCCGCCCAACTTTATTTAGCGCAAAAGGGAAGTGGCAAAATCCGGCTAACTTGTTCAGAAAAACTTAAGTGTAGGCAATTTGAATTCCAATTTTAAAGAGGCGAATTGTGTTTAAGGAGGAGATTTCCAGAACGATGTTAATTATTAACTTTGCCTTTACTCGCAGTTGTTTTGTCGTCCTTTTACGACGAGTTGTTATTACATTCGCAAACGCAATTCGCACTGCCGTAAACAAGGCGATAACTTCCTCTCGAAAGGATCATGAAATTAAAATGAAATGGCCAACATGAAGAGCATCGAAGGCAGCGTTAGTTGCCATCGAATAAACAAATTGATGATGAATAAACATTTTGTCGGGCATTCCAGCAGACTTTTTCCCTCTGGCACATTTCTTATTTACTCCACTGCAGTTTGCAGTTAATTTGTAGCAACAACACAGCTTCCGTTCTCCCGTTTCCTGTCGCTCCACTTCCCTTTCCGGCTTGCCCCCCTTCCCTCAGGTCCGCAAGCAAATGACCAAACAAGGAAATTGGCAACCCGAATGCCACTTGGTCCACAGAACCTTAACGATTGCAGTGCCAATTAAGCTGCGAGAATTCAAACCAAACTGTCGAGACATTTAAGTCGCTGAAATGACCAAATTATGCAACATTTTACCAGACTGAAAAAAGGAAAAATAAGAGAAATTGTTTTTCATTTTAATTTTAAAATCAATATTGAGCAATGGCACAGAAATGATTACCAAGGTGTTTAAAAGTATGCATTAAAAAAGGGAACGAAGACTTGAAATGGTTAAAATAGATCAAATATATATTCTCTTTAAATAATTAAATAACATAGAAACCCTTAAACAGGCTGGTTTTTAATTGAAATGACAAAAAGCTAAAAAGCTCCAAGGGTCTGGGAACCATCAATCAAACCGCCAACGCTCAACAGTTTTTAATGCAGCCGCGGAAAAAAAGGCGTTTCACTGTCGCCTCATTATCACCAAAAAACAGAACAGAAACAGACCGAAACGGAAGAAAAGAAGTCTTAGAGCGTCAAAATTGGGGATAAGGGGGGTAAAAGGAGTAAAAGGAGTAAAAGAGTGGGAAAGGGATAACCAGGATAACTGAGGATTGCCAGGACAACGGACTAAGCCCACAGCAAGATTAATTAAGTCCGCGTAGGCTGCAACAGCAGCAAGAAAAACAACAACAATAACAAGAACAAACAATGGCAACAGCTAGGGCCCACGCCCACCAAGTGCGTGCCCCCGCCTCCGCCTTCCCACCCCGCCCCCACCACATCCTTGCCTTATCCTTTGTAGCATACTTTTTGGCGTCGTCGCGTGAGAAATTAAAATTTCAAAGCAAAACGTGTTGCCGCATAAGCAGGTTGTGTGCCTGTCTGTGTGCCGGTGTGGGTATGTGTGTGTGTGTGTTGGCGTATTTACTTGGCCAAGAACAACAAAAACAACATCCCAACAAAACTGAGTGAAAAAAAAGAAAACATCAAAAATAACAAAAACAAAACGTAAACAAAGGCAAATAAGCAGGAAGCAGCTCGTCGACGCAATTTTCTCATTCGCCTTCCGTAATAAGCGCGGTGTCAACAATGCATAAGGATAAGGCGATCCTGTCCAGGACGAGGGCTACTCAAAAAGCGTGACTACAACGAAAGTTTATAGGGCAAATGACATTAAGCCGTAGTTAATCAATAAAATAAATTTAGTATTGGATTTTATTTTTATGTGGCAAAAAAAATTTAATTCCTTTTGTAAAGCAAAACATAAAATTTGTTAATTTAAAATAAATATTTTGTTTATAAAAAGTATATTCATAAATATTTTCAAAAGCAAACATGAAGTAATTTTAAATTTCATGTTAAAATAATATTAAAATTTGTATTTATAGTTTGATATCTCCTTTACTTTTATTTAACTTCAAGTTACAATGAACAATTATTAGTTTTAGCTTTTACAAGACTTGATTTAAAAGACAAATAAAATGCTTAATTCGTTAACAATAATTAAAAATACAAACATTAATTTAATTTAATTCGGTTATAAAATAATTATTTAACTAAATTACGAAACCAATTTATTTCCATGGGGTAGTATTCTCTAGGGAATCCTCAGTCAAAGTGAATTATTTCGAGAAATAAGTGCACCAATTAACGTTCACCTGGCCGAACCCGAGTGACAATTAACATTGAGTGCGTCCTGGCCAGTGATCGTTAGCAGTGACTGCTACATGGAACACCTTCATATATTGTCCTGCCAACCCTGTAACAGCCCAACCACCCACACAAACGCACTGGCACACACGTACCCACACTTGGAGGCCTCTCTCTCTCTGTTAATGAGTTCCGCCTTGACGCTGATGAGGATGTAGGATGTGGGATGAAGGATGCTGGGAGGATGATGAGCTTGTTGCTCTGCGACAATAAACATGTTGAATGTCAAGAGTACACAGCCTATGCGTATGTGTGTATGTGGAATATACGTATATGCGTATTTTAATGTATTTTTCGTGCCATCTCTTTTTATAATTAAATATGTTACTTAAATGATGCTCCATCAAATTGTTGTTTTTTTTTCTCCCTGGTCCTCTCTAAGCCAAAACACAATTGCGGTTTCTGTGGGGGGATTTACACACACACACACATGAGGTTGGGTAATAAAAAACGCTTAAAAAGCAAAATTACTGCATTTGATAAAAACGACACCCCAAGGATTAGCCGAAAGTACGGGAAAGTGGGTAGAGCTACCCAGAATTTCTCGCTCGCTTCCTGGGCACTCAGGCACTCAAAATGTGGCCCCCAAAAAAGGTTGACCTTCGTTTGGATCCCGGGTCTTGAATTGTGTTTGTGGGAGCATTGTAATTTTCCAGCTCCCTTACTCGAACTCATCCTCCATTTCCCTTTTTCAACTTGGCCAACTCCAATTAGCCCTAAAATGGATTTGTGTTACGCACAAACTACAATACGTTTACCTCTGAGATTTGCGGTGGCTCTTAGGGTTCATTTTCCTGTCACAACTCTCGAATGATTTTCCATTTTCCGCTGCCCAATTTCCCTGACTTTCGGTTGATTTTACGCTACTTTGTCGCCTTTTCGGCGGACAGAAAACATTTCATTTTAATATCCTGCCAAGGAAGTTGGGAAAACTGAACCAACTTTTGCTGATAAAGGATGGTGGGGAAATGCTGTGTTTTCGGGGGGAAAGCGCTGAAATATTTATGAGACTCGCACACACAGGCGATTCATGTGTGCTTGCGTTAATGTATGTGTAATGAGTTGGCCAAGTGTTGAAATCTGCATTTAAGGCAGCCTTTGTATCGCATTTGGGATTCATTTCCTCTGATTTTGTTCTTCCTCTTTTGATACCCCGGAACAGATGGGTAGTATATTTTTGGTTCGAAAAACTGTACAAGCTGTCATCTACAGAAGTTTGTAAAATCACGCAAAAATTAATTAACTTTCTTTCAAGTATAACTTTTTAAATTGTTTTAATAAACTATTCAATTTATTTTAAACCAAAAAAAAAACTTGATCTCCGAGAAAGAGAAAACGATATGCGTGTAAATACCAGAAATTTACCATGCGCATATCGTTTGTGTGTAAATATAACTTAAACTGTTTCGGATTTATAGAAATAAAATATACTTAAAACACTGACTAAAATCTTTATGCAATGACTATATCTTAGAAGAGAAACAACTTAAAAGATTTAATTCAACTTAGTCAGCTCTTTGAAATATTCTGAAATGAATATGAATATTAAGCTACACACGCCACACTGTTTTACCAAATTGAGTTAAAATGCCATACATTTCATCGTGATGGGGTTGTTATTTAGTTTTAATGCGATTATTTGCAACCACAACTAACTGGTTTACGCTTCTCCTTCTCCTTGCAGTCAACCACTAGCCAGTCTTGAGGGAGTTGCCAGGACACCATTGGACAATTGGACAAGCAGCCGGGCAAGATGGACCTGCCGTCAATGGTGCAGCGTTCGGGAGACACGCTCATCGTGCGCAGCGTGGTCAGTGGCAATCAGCTGTACACGGAGCAGGGTCAGCAACATGGGCACCAGCAACAGACCACCGGCGGCAGCAACACGGGACACATTTCGAGCAACTCGAGCGGCAACAACACGGCCGCCTCGCAGGCGGGATCATCTCTCCTCGAGCGACACGTGGAGCGCTTCCGCCTGCAGCAGTTGCTGCAACAGCAGCAACAAGCAGCCGCTGCCGTGGCCGTTGTGAACAGCGTGCAACAGCAGCAGCAACAGCAGCAGCAGCAACAGCAGGCCGCCATTGGCATGGATGCCAAGGAGGAGGGTCTGCCGCAGTGCAAGATTAAGCGGAACTACAGCTGCAACCACTGTGCGTACTTCACGCAGAACCCGCGCTACCATCTCACCCACCTGCGCGACGTGCACGGCGAGAAGATAGTGATCAACAAGTGCAAGCTCTGCCTGTACGCCTCGCGGCACTTCCAGAAGCTGGTGCGGCACATGAAGATGGTGCACGGCTGCACGGACGGCATTCCCAGTGGTCATGGGCAGGCGCGCGGCAAGCGAGGCATGAGTAGGGAGGCACGAAAGCGCCGGCTGGAGGAGAGTGTGGGCGTGATGGGTGGCCAGAGCCTGACGGTCGCTGTGCCCGATGTGCCCACGCTGGAGCAGGTGAAGCGGGAGCTGCTGCTGCAGGAGGAGAAGCTGCAGCGCGACATCCAGGCCTTCAATCAGCGGCAGCGCGAGGAGCAGCAGCGCGAGCAGCAGCGGGAGTTGGAACTGGTGGCCACCAGTGCGTATGAGCGACAAATGCAGGTGCTGCGCGATTTCGAGCGCCATTCGCCCGCCGAACCGCCCACGCCGTCGCCCACTAGTGGCTCGGCCACGCCCCCCTCGAACGGGGAGGAGCCGCAGAACCGGCTGCTCAAGTGCAGCGCCTGCGAGTTCACCACCCTGTACCGCACCCAGCTGCGGGCCCACGAGCTGGCCGAGCACGGCAAGACCAAGTTCTTCCGCTGCGACAAGTGCAGCTATGTGACCCACATCAAGGCGCGCTTCAGCAAGCACGTCAAGTACCACAGCATGCCGATGATCAAGTGCGTCACCTGCGACTTCCGCACTCCGTACAAGTGGAATCTGGACAGGCACATGAAGAACCATGGCGGCGCGGGCGCCTTCAAGTGTGCCGCCTGTGACTTTACCGCCGACATCAAGCAATCGCTGACGGTGCACGAGATGAACCATCATGTGCCGCCGGTGGGCAATGCCGGCTCCATTTGGCCGAGGCGCCAGAATAAAGTGGGAGCCAGCGAGATGTGCGAGGACTTCCTCAGCGATTCGGCCGAGCTGGAGGATCAGTATAATAACAACAATGTCGACGACGAACTGGACGGCGTCGAGGACGCCGACGAGCCGATGAGCGGCGGCGAGGAGCAGCCGATGCTCCACAATCACCATCACTACGGCAAGCGGAGCAAGTACGACGAGGAGGAGGAGCCCACGGATCTGTCGCAGAAGGGCGGCTGCTCCTCGGACACCTCCAGCGTGGGCACGCCCACGCCGAGGGCCCAGCGACCGGTGCCCAATCTCATCCCGATCAGCAAGGGGGCCAAAGAGTGAGTAAAACAATATTAATTCTAGATTTTACTCCGTTTGTTAACCATTAAAGTCAAATCGCGAATTCTTTAGATCTACTTTATACTTTCAATTAAATATATCCATATTAAAATTATTGATAGAAAAATGTTGTATTTAGAAAAGTATTGTTATTCTTCAAGTATAAAGAAATTTGAAATAAAGAATAAAAACATTATATATACTTTTATTCATTCTTTGATAAGTTGCAATTTATTAACCATAAAAGCAAAAATGCGAATTCTTCAGATTATTTTTGATAATCTACCTTCAAGCTGGAAATAAATATTAAACTTATTAGATATACTTTTATTCATTCTTTGATAAGCTGCAACCATAAAAGCAAAAACGCAAATTCTTCAGATCATTTTGGATAATCTACCCTCATAGATTAAATAACGTCGGCTTTGACTACTATATAAAGAAAATTTAAATAAATAATAATTATTCATTTTTTAAAAAGATACAATTTTTAAGAAACCCGAATTTCGTTCTTATAACTTAAAATATGCTTTTGTAAAATATAAAAAAATAAATATAATTTTTCTCTCGTACCCTTTAGCGTATTAAATCTGTCCAAGGAGACCAATGCCTCGCGCAGCTCCCTCACGGAAATCGCGTCCATGTTCTTCAACGAGAAGCAGATCTCGGAGATGCTGGACAAGTCAGATGTGCCGCAATTATCGCCGGCAACGACGGTGGCCTCCCAGAACTCGACGCGCAGCCAGATGACCAAGAAGTCCAGCTTCCTGGACAAACTGAAGACAGGGGCGCAGCACGAGAATCTGGTGTGCCAGTGCGGCCACGTGGCCAAGTGCCTCTCGGAGTCGATCATCCACGGCAAGAGCTGCCACGCCTCGGCGGTGATCATCGACGACGACGACGCCGGTCTGCACGAGGACGATGCCGACGATCGGCTGGAAATCGACGAGGACGACGAGGATCACCACTCCCATTCGGCCCTAAATCTCAGTGTGACGGGATCGACGCGTTGCCAGCATTGCCGCCACCGTTGCAAGTCCTCCACGGATCTGCTGCACCACCTGAAGCAGTGCGTCGAGGCCATTCGCTGCGCCAACGAGATGTACGACTCGAATTCCGGGGAGAGCGGCGATCGGCGGCCCGATACGCAGAGCCTCCAGCAGCAGGCGGCCGTCCAGCAGCAGAGGGTCTGCATCTGGAACAAGGCGACCAAGGAGATTGTCGCCGCCGCAGCAGCCGCCTCCTTGCAGCAGGAGAACAACGGGCACAGCCTGGTCAAGTCGCCGGCCGGAAGTCAGGCGGCCAGCAACGAGGAGAACAGCTACTACGGCGTGGAAACGGCGCCCGGCTACGGCGAGGTGAGTCCGGAGTCCACTAAGCACAGATCCCAAAATTGAAAGTTTTAGATTTTTTATTTTTTTTAATTTCTTACGGCTTAAATCAGAACTATATTATTTTAAAAAGTCCTATATAATATTTATTGTTGAGAATTTAAGGGATTATTATTTTCTAAAATAAGTTAAACTTTGGAATTATTATTATAATTATTTTATAGAAGCATGCTAAATTTAATAAAAATTTGTTCAGGCGTAAAAATACATAAAAAGTTTTTTTTTACTAAAGTTTTGAAAATATTTACATTTTTTTTAATTCTCTTTATAATTATCTTTTTAGAGAAGCATGCAAAATTCAATAAAAATTTGTTTCGCGTAAAAATAGTAAAAATATCAAAAGTATTTTTTTAAAAAAGTTCTGAAAATATTTTAATTTTTTTGAATTCTTTTTAAATTATTAAATAATATCCATATATTTTTTATAATATTTTATTTTAGTACAAAAGGTTAAAAAGTAGTTTAATGAAATGAAATTTTCTTGATAATATTAATTTATAACAATTTTTTAGTTACAATACTTTAGTTTTATACTAGGTTTTTAAAATTGTTTGCTTAGCTTAATTTATAGCTTATGGTCAGGTATTATTTTGTTTGACCCCTCGACCCCAGCACGAGCATATGCCACGTCAAAATGAAATTTGACTCTTTCACGCACTGCAGGTAACCAAAAAGATGACGCCCGAGGAGGAGGCCGCCAACTCGTCGCTGAAGAAGGTCTACAAGTGTCCGCACTGCAGCTTCTGGGCCTCGACGGCGTCCCGCTTCCACGTCCACATCGTGGGCCACCTGAACAAGAAGCCCTTCGAGTGCTCCCTCTGCTCGTACCGCTCCAACTGGCGCTGGGACATCACGAAGCACATTCGCTTGAAGACGATCCGCGATCCCTCGCACAAGACGGCCAAGGTTCTGATGAACGACGAGACGGGTCGCCGGAACTACACCAAGTACAACAAGTACATCACCCTGATGAAGGTCACCGAGGAGGATGGCGACCCGAAGCTGATGAAGTCCGGCGAAATGACCCCCAACCAGGTGGCCTCGCTGGCCTTCCTCAAGGACTACGCCAAGGTGGGCTCCGCCACCGGACAGGATATCACCCTGGAACCGGTGCTGCCGACCAAGCCGAATGTCCTGGACGATGCCCATCTGGCCGACAACCTCATCCGTATTCCCCTCTTGGCCACCATGATGAACGCCGCCATGGCGCAGCAGCAGCACCAGCAGCAGCAGCAGAAGGAGCACCAGTCCACGATGATCACGCCCTCGGTGACCATCTCGCCGGTGAAGCGATCCAGCCAGGGATCGGTGATGCAGGGCAAGCCCAGCGACGATCTGATCACCGAGGTGCACCAGGAGGGCAACGAGAAGAGGACGGTCTACCGGTGCCGCAAGTGCAACTTTGGGTGAGTTGGGAAGGGTTACTTTTCAAGGATGCAGAGAAAAAATAATTTAAAGAGAATCTGCACTTTCTTAGTTTTATTTTGTTAAAGAGATTTAGTCAACAAAAATCGTACATTTAATAAAAAATTTTTAAAGTGTTAATATATTTTTAAAACATACAGATTTTTAACTGATTTTAGTATAAAATCAATTTTAAATCTTTGTTAAAAAAGTTTTTTAATTTGAAACTTCCTTTGCTCTTCTGAATTTGAATATCTTCAAATTACCTTTTTGCTCTTTTAACAAATATTATTTGTAAGTTCATTTTTTCAAGATTTTCGATTTTAACACGGTTTTATAATTAACTTTATAAAATATTTTAAATATATTAGCATATATATTATATTTAAATATTATTTTTTTTTATTTTAACAAATGTTTTTTATTAGTAAATTTTACCAAGAGCTTTGATTTTGATTAAGAGCTTTAATTTAAAAAGTTTTTTATAATTAACTTTATATAAGCAAAAATAAAACAAGAGAGAACGTTATAGTCGGGTGCCCCGACTATCAGATACCCGTTACTCAGTTAAAGGGAGTGCGAGGGAGATGGAGATAGAGATAGAAAACGTTGATCACGCATAACTTTTTAACGAATGGTCCGATTTGAAAAATTTCTTCTACATTTCGATAGGTATTGATAATCACAATAAAACTGCATTTTTACTTTTCCAAAATATTACAATTTTTAAAATCGTATATTAGCGATTGTGGGCGTTAGAGGGGGCGTGGCACCATTTTGAAACAAACTTGCGCTGCGTAGGAACTCCTAAAATCTGCATGCAAAATGCCAATCTTCTAGCTTTTATAGTTTCTGAGATCTCAGCGTTCATACAGACAGACAGACGGACAGACGGACAGACGGACAGACAGACGGACAGACGGACAGACGGACAGACGGACATGGCCAGATCGACTCGGCTAGTGATCCTGATCAAGAATATATATACTTTATGGGGTCGGAAACGCTTCCTTCTCCCTGTTACATACTTTTGCACGAATACAATATACCCTTTTACTCTACGAGTAACGGGTATAAAAATATTTAAATATCTCTGAATTAATTTATATTTTTTTTAACACTAAATTTCTCAGATTAACCAGGATATTCCTATTTTATTTTCAAGTAACTAATTCCTGAATTACCCCCTTTAAAACAGCCACCAGAACCGCGATGCTGTGCTGGCGCACGTGAAGATCCACTACCAGGACGCCAGCTACCCAAAGTCCAGTTCGGCCAATTCGGGCACCTCGCCGCTGCAGGTTTCGGTGGGCGGGAATCCACAGTTCTACATGAACAAGGTCTTCGCCGCCATGTGCCTGTCGCAGCAGACGCAGCAGTCGCAGTCGTCGCCCAACTCGGGCTCCACCGGAACCAGTCCGGCCATTTCGGCCGGGCTGCTGCAGCGGGCCATCCAGGAGGCCCAGCACTCGCCGACGCCCAACGCCAGCGCTCTGAGCGGACTTGCTTTGGCGTTGGCGGGCGGTAAGCCACAAGCCAATACGACGAAAGCCAGTGCCGCCTCCATTTTAGAGCACGGTGAGCAGAAAGCGAGTCAAAACGAGGCAAGTGCCGACAGTCTGACGTCGCCGAACACCACCACCACTAGAACCACCAAAGCCACCACCACTAGCACCACCAAAGACACCGCCAGATCGCTGCAGGATCTGCTCACCTCACCGCGCAGTGCCAGAAATGGAAGCCATCATCCCTCTAACGCTAACAGTAGTAACTCGGTTGTGGGAAATGGACTCCGGCTGGAAGCCGATGCCGTCTACGTCGCCTCATCCACCAATACCACACCACCACCACCACCCACCAACTCAGTCAGCAAGCCCAATGCATCGCCTTTGCCAGTAACTACCACTCCTACTCCTATTTCTACTGCCACACCTCATCATCATCTGGGTGCGGGTAACCACAGCTCATCCCCATCCTCAGCCCAACACAATGACCACCATCCTCCACTCATGGCCGGTGATGGTTACCACCTGGCGTCGGGTCTAACCCATGCCCACAGCATAAGCAACAACACTAACCCAAAAGCCAATCCCAACTCCAATTCCTTCCCCTCGTCATCGTCGTCGTCATCGTCGTCCTCGGTGGCGTCCACCTCCTCGGCCGCCGGCTCCGCGTCCTCCTCCTCCGCATCGTCGCCACCACCACCACCGCCGCCGTCGGCGGGAGCAGCAGCAGCTGCCTCATCCTCCTACCTGGCTGCCCCTGCCGTGCAGTTGCCGCATCCGCCGCAGACGAGATTCCATAGCCATAGTCCAGGTAGTCCCAGCCTCCTGACCATGGCCGATGGCGATCGACGCGACCCGTCGCCCTATCGCTGCGGCCACTGCCACCAGGTCTCGAATTGGAAGCATGTCATCCAGGTATGGCCCAGTGCACTTTAATGGATTTGTGTTTTGTCCCATTGAAAAACCGAAGCGAGCCGAAAAAGCCAATCCCCGAAAGTTTCGTTTTTTGACCCGAAAAATAGGGCTAGACTTTAGAAATCAGAAATGGATTTAGTACACACAAAAAAAAAACTTGGTAAAATCAACTGTAATAATTGTCAAATTGTCATTAGCAAAGACAAAAACCAAAAGCAAAAACAAAATACACGTAACTATTTTAATAGTTACGTAACTATCTTTGTTGGTCAATTTTACCAATCAATTTTTTTTGTGTGTAGGTTTGTTAAATTTGAATCTACAAAAATATTACATTAATTTTAACCATGTCGACTGACCCCACTCAAAAGAAATTAAATTTTTATTATAATTAAAGAACTGTGTTTTTAAAAACTATACATTTTCTTATAAAGGAAATAACCATACAAAAATTCATATAAGTATACTATATCCTTAGAACTACAAATTATGATTTTTTAAAGAAAAACTATTTTTTAAAAATAATCGACTTTAATATTTCTGAAATAATAACATTCTTTATAGTTTATATTCAAAATTTCAAGAAATAAAAAAATTAGAAAGTTAGAAATCATATTTAATTTCTAAATATATCTCTAAAATGAATTTAGATAAGACCTCATGTTAAAAGTATATCTTATACGTGAGATCTCTTTGAAAAGCCTTTAAAAAAATCCACCAAGAAAAGCTTTTATAGAATAGCACTCAATTTAGACAACTTGCAGTCCCCGATCCGACCTTCTGACCTTTTGCCCCCACAACCTCACCACTCCATCTGTGTCCGTAGTCCCTGCGCTGCGCTGGTAAATATGCAAAGTCTATTTGGTAAACTCCCCCCCTCTTACTATCCCGATTTTGACTGTTTAAATGTGTGGTGTCTGGTCTTGCTTTTGTTGTACTCTATATATGATAAACGATTATTAACTATAAGAAAATCATTGGTGAAAGTCTTGCTTGCTCTCTATTTACCTTTCGAACTAAGTGTAATCCATAAATCCGAAATCATTACAAATGAAACAAACCCATGACACCATAAAAAAAATATAAAACAAAGCTAACCTTAAAGGGATTCCCATTACGGTGCGAGGGTTTTCGATTGGGCTAAACTCATGGTTATAAGCCCTCAAAAGGGGTACACACAACACACACACAATACATACACACTCACACACACATACATACAAATATATACATTGAAACAGAAGGACACTTGATAAATACCATTCACCCATGCGAAGTTGTACTAATTTTTAACCATTTTTTTTTACAATTTTTCCCAAAACAGCGGCACTGTCGCTTAAAGCATTCCGGGGATATTCGGATCGAGACCCTTGAGCGAGGAGCCAGTGCCTCGGCGAACGCACCACCCATCTACCGACCCTTGGGCGCAGGTGCCACCAACGAATCCCAGTCCCACATCCCCACGAATTCCATCCCGAAGTCCGGAAACACAAACAGCAATGCCAGCCAGCTGCTGATGACCACCAAGCAGCTGGAGCAGCTCCTCCACTCGCCGCTCTCGGCCAGCGCCGCTGCGGTGGTGAATGCGGCGAATACCCAGCAGGATATCCAGGCGGCGGCAGCCTATTGGGCGGCTGCCTGCAAGGCGGTGGTGGCCAACAGCAGTGCCGAGGAGTTGCTGCAGTTGCAGCAGAACGACCAGATCGAGATCACCCGACTGCCGGCGGAGCAACCTGCAGCCTCCAACAACAGCAACACCAAGAGCAAGCAACAAAAGTGCCCTGTGTGTCCTTACATCTCGGAGAGCAAATCCCAGATGAACTACCACGTCTCGCTGCACAAGCCCACCCAATACGAGTGTAGGCTGTGCACTTTCGTCTGTGCCAAGAAGCAGCATTTGAGCAGCCACATGAGGAGTGTCCACCAGCAGCAGATGGCTGCCTCAGCAGGAGGAGGATCATCCTCCTCTATAAACCTCGATTTCAGTGTGGCCCTCCAATTGGCAGCCGCTGCCAAGCAGGTGCAACAACTGCCCGCCTCCACGCCGCTCTCCATTGACCTCTCCCAGGTCCAACTGGACGCCGCCTCGGATGCGGAGCTCAATCCGCAGCAACTGCCGCCGGAGTACCAGTACAAGCTGATCAGCTACTGTCCCCGGTGTCCCGCCCGCTTTGCCCAGAAGCACAACGACGAGCGCAATGCCAAGCAGCAGCTGGAGCAGCATTTGCTGGCCCACAGCGACTTGGAGGATCAGCAGCAGGATCAGTCCTTTGTCTGCACCTACTGCGAGTATCGCACAGCCGAGGAGACGCTGCTCCAGCTCCACCGGGCTGTGCACATGTCGCACTACCAGGAGAAGTGCCAGCAGCTGTACAAGAACTGCAAGGAGGATCTCGAGTATCCCGCGCCCAAGCTGCTGCAGCTGACGGGTCCCGAGACCATCTGGGTGGTGGACAATGAGCTGAGCCTGCAGCTACTGCAGCAGACAGGCTCCTCCTCCAGCGGAAGCTTTGATAACCAGAATTCGCTGCTTAAGAAGCAGCTGGAATCGGGCGGTGGCCAGGTGGTCGCACCAATCTCTACAACCAAGGAAACGGCGGCGGAGGAAGATGAGGAGCGACACAGCAGCTCCACGCCTTCGACCAGCGCCTCGGTGGCCACCAGTGACTTGGCGGCCGATGCCAGCAGTGATGCCGGCTCCGTGGACATGCCACAGTCCATTCCGGCACCGGAGCGCTGCCTCCACTGCCCCTTTGAGACGCAGCAGCACGAGGAGCTGCTGCAGCATCTCCAGAAGCACGCCTGCGTGAATCCTCCGCCAGCCGACTCCCAGCAGTGTGCCCACTGTGATTACAACGCCCAAGAGGAGTCGGAATTGGAGGAACACACCGCGCTGCATTTCAATGCCAGTGAGAAACTGAAGTCCGTGGAGTTCTACACCTGCTACGATCAGCTCGAGATCAGTGTGGAGCGGGAACCGGAGGAGAACGGCGAGGCCAAGGATGAGCAGACCGAGCACAACAACAACCAGGACAATGTGATGAACGCCAATGTGCAGCAGGAGCAGAGTGCAGGGGGAGATGATGATCCAATGGAGGAGGAGCCGCCGGCCAAGAAGCCCAGCACCAAGTTGATTCTGTACAAGAACGAGGGCGGTTTGAGTGTGAAGCCATCGCCGCAGGAGGATGGAGTTACTTCGGAGTCGCAGAAGAGCGAGAACATCAGCGATCGCCTGCGCCGAAGGATCCTCCGCGGAGGAGGAGGTGGTGCCAACCAGCCGGAGGACTCCCAAGCGCAGGAACACCGACCCACTACACCGGACAAAATGATACTGGTCAATGCCAAGACGGGCAAAGTCATTTCCAGAAAGTAGACCTCCAAGGGTCGAACCTTTTATTACATTTAATCACCTTACCCCTAAGTTTATCGTTTATTTAGCCCTAAGTGAGTTTTGGTTTTGTTAATACTTTGTTGTTGCTTATGTTTTTCATTTTTTTTTTCGGGTAATGCGTTAGTGGAGTTCGGGATTCGTTTTGGGCACCTTATAAAGATTTCTATTGTCACTAACAAACACCCACATACACACACCTAGTTGGAACATGTTCCTGCACTTAAAACTTGTTTAAGCCCTAAGTTAGTCTTACGTACCCATAATTTATAAACAAAACAAAAAACAAAAATTCGAATACTTTACACTTGGGAAAACCCGGAATTCTTACTGTAATTACTTGCTAGAACGGTGCAAAATGTAATTTAAATTAATTGTATTGTAAATTATCAGAGAGACAACTATAAGCGTAAATTAAAATGTAGACCCTATATTTACCATTGGCTAAATATGTAAAATGATACGAGGAAACCTAACCCAACCTAGGAGCAAGATCGAAAAGCGTTTCAAAGAAATCAACTTTGTATAGGAGAAAAAGATAAATTCAAAATTAAGTCTTGCTACAATTAATTCGTTTAATTTTTTTAATGGGAACTGTGATTATTGAATATTGTAAATGAAAAAAAAAAGAAAAAGGAAAAAGAAAGTGGTCGCGTATATCATGCAATGAATATGGTACTATATACATACTATATAAATCTAAACATATATATTTACACACAGCTGCTGCAAAAACGAAAACACAATTTAAATGCAATTCAAAAATCAACAAAGAATAGGGAAATTTTTGCAATATTTGCAATATTATTTTGTACAAGTGCAGCACACGGTTAAAAATAGTTATTAGTTTCTAGTTTCTACTACGGAATAGTTATGTTCTTATCATTACTACGATTGTTTTCAAGCAAACAGCGTCTTTGTAGCACAGTGCTAGCGTAAACACTACAAACAAAATGTTATCATAAACTATAAGCAAACGAAAAGAACACATGTGGAATAGCGGGGCCATATTTAAATAGTTTAAACTTTAAAGCAAGGAAACATTTAAACAGAGCAAATCAAAACCAGAAAACGCAAACAAGCGATATTGTATACAGAAACTTACTTGGATATAACTGCAACCGCCTTTGATATGCATATATACATCTAATATCGATACCGATATCTATACACACAATATATTATATATTAAATAGTCCTTAACATTGAACTACATTTAAACTTAAAGCTAGTGTAAATAACTTAGTTTTGTTTACTACGCACACAGACAACACACAACACTTACACACACACCAACACACACGAAGATTTACGGCATTAAATTACAACAGAGAAAATGTACAAAAAACAAATGTTAATAAAGAAATCAAATAAAAATACACAAGTTGCATTTACAATTGAACGATTTTCTATATGGGCAATGCTGAAATTTCGCACGATACGAAGTAAAAAAAAACGGCGTTAGTTACTTTCGTCGTAAACATTTAAAAAATTGTCAAACAATATTATTAAATTCCGAATCCATTCGCATTAAAGCCTTGAAACTTTTTTTTTAACCCTTAAAAAAAGAACAAACAGAACAGAAAGTAATGTGGATCGTTAACATAGGTTATTAACTGGGCAATATTAGTCATTCGCCAAAAAAAACACATGGAAAATTTCAAAATCGCCAGTACTTCAGTGACAAGAAGGATTTTTGGGTTGTGACACCTTCAAATTAACCGTTATTTTCTAAATGGAATAACATTTAGTACACGAACAACGCCAAACGACACGTTTTAAAAACGGTCACACCTTAGAGGTAAATACTGAAATGAACATCAAAATAGCGCCAACGGAAGTGGAACGGTGGAAATTCGATGACTGGGGTCCTTTTCATTTTGTAAATTTGCTCGCTATTTGGGGGCCGAATCGAAAATTCAATATTTGAAATGTTTGTTGCAAAATTGTTTAGAATAAAAATATCTATCGATCTATATAGGTTGGGGCATGTTAAAAATGAGCAAATTGTAAATGGGCATGTTACAAATTAGCATGTTACAAATGAGCACATTAGAAATGGTTCCAAAAATAAAACAGTTTAGAGACCAAAACTAATTATAATTTGAGTGTTTTAAGCTGAAAGTGATTTAGTTATTGTTATTGTTATTATCAAATTGTCCAATAATGAGTAGGAAATTAATTTCCGCAAATTTGGATGGTTTTGGACCTCTTCAATACTCTTCTTTGAATCCATCCAGTCGCAGAATGCTCCAGTAGCAGAATGCTCCAGTCGCAGAATGCTCCAGTCGCAAAATGCTCCAACCACCAAAATGCTCCAGTCGCAGAATGCTCCATTCGCAGAATGCTCCAGTCGCAAAATGCTCCAGTCGCAAAATGCTCCAGTCGCAAAATGCTCCAGTCACCAAAATGCTCCAGTCGCAGAATGCTCCAGTCGCAAAATGCTCCAGTCGCAGAATGCTCCAGTCGCAAAATGCTCCAGTAGCAGAACGCTCCAGTCGCAAAACGCTCCAGTCGCAAAATGCTCCAGTCGCCAAAATGCTCCAGTCGCAGAATGCTCCATTCGCAGAATGCTCCAGTCGCAAAATGCTCCAGTCGCAAAATGCTCCAATCGCAATATGCTCCATTCGCAAAATGCTGCAGTCACCAAAATGCTCCAGTCGCAGAATGCTCCATTCGCAGAATGCTCCAGTCGCAAAATGCTCCAGTCGCAAAATGCTCCAGTCGCAAAATGCTCCAATCGCAATATGCTCCATTCGCAAAATGCTCCAGTCACCAAAATACTCCAGTCGCAGAATGCTCCATTCGCAATATGCTCCATTCGCAAAATGCTCCTATCGCAAAATGCTCCAATCGCAAAATGCTCCAATCGCAAAATGCTCCAATCGCAAAATGCTCCATTCGCAGAATGCTCCATTCGCAAAATGCTCCATTCGCAAAATGCTCCAGTCGCAAAATGCTCCAGTCACCAAAATGCTCCAGTCGCAGAATGCTCCATTCGCAGAATGCTCCATTCGCAAAATGCTCCATTCGCAAAATGCTCCATTCGCAAAATGCTCCAGTCACCAAAATGCTTCAGTCGCAGAATGCTCCAGTCGCAGAATGCTCCAATCGCAAAATGCTCCAGTCGCAGAATGCTCCATTCGCAGAATGCTCCAGTCGCAGAATGCTCCAGTCGCAGAATGCTCCATTCACAAAATGCTCCAGTCGCAAAATGCTCCAGTCACCAAAATGCTCCAGTCGCAGAATGCTCCATTCGCAGAATGCTCCATTCGCAGAATGCTCCAGTCGTAAAATGCTCCAGTCACCAAAATGCTCCAGTCGCAGAATGCTCCATTCGCAGAATGCTCCAGTCGCAGAATGCTCCAGTCGCAGAATGCTCCAGTCGCAAAATGCTCCAGTCACCAAAATGCTCCAGTCCCAGAATGCTCCAGTCGCAGAATGCTCCAGTCGCAAAATGCTCCAGTCACCAAAATGCTCCAGTCGCAGAATGCTCCATTCACAAAATGCTCCAGTCGCAAAATGCTCCAGTCACCAAAATGCTCCAGTCGCAGAATGCTCCATTCGCAGAATGCTCCATTCGCAGAATGCTCCAGTCGTAAAATGCTCCAGTCACCAAAATGCTGCAGTCGCAAAATGCTCCAGTCACCAAAATGCTCCAGTCGCAGAATGCTCCATTCGCAAAATGCTCCAGTCACCAAAATGCTCCAGTCGCAAAATGCTCCATTCGCAAAATGCTCCAGTCACCAAAATGCTTCAGTCGCAGAATGCTCCAGTCGCAGAATGCTCCAATCGCAAAATGCTCCAGTCGCAGAATGCTCCATTCGCAGAATGCTCCAGTCGCAGAATGCTCCAGTCGCAGAATGCTCCATTCACAAAATGCTCCAGTCGCAAAATGCTCCAGTCACCAAAATGCTCCAGTCGCAGAATGCTCCATTCGCAGAATGCTCCATTCGCAGAATGCTCCAGTCGTAAAATGCTCCAGTCACCAAAATGCTGCAGTCGCAAAATGCTCCAGTCACCAAAATGCTCCAGTCGCAGAATGCTCCATTCGCAGAATGCTCCAGTCGCAAAATGCTCCAGTCGCAAAATGCTCCAGTCGCAAAATGCTCCAGTCGCCAAAATGCTCCAGTCGCAGAATGCTCCATTCGCAGAATGCTCCAGTCGCAAAATGCTCCAGTCGCAATATGCTCCAGTCGCAATATGCTCCAGTCGCAAAATGCTCCAGTCGCAAAATTCTCCAGTCACCAAAATGCTCCAGCGCAGAATGCTCCATTCGCAAAATGCTCCAGTCGCAGAATGCTCCATTCGCAGAATGCTCCAGTCGCAGAATGCTCCAGTCGCAGAATGCTCCAGTCGCAGAATGCTCCAGTCGCAAAATGCTCCAGTCACCAAAATGCTCCAGTCCCAGAATGCTCCAGTCGCAGAATGCTCCAGTCGCAAAATGCTCCAGTCACCAAAATGCTCCAGTCGCAGAATGCTCCATTCGCAGAATGCTCCATTCGCAGAATGCTCCAGTCGCAAAATGCTCCAATCGCAAAATTCTCCAGTCGCAGAATGCTCCATTCGCAGAATGCTCCAGTCGCAGAATGCTCCAGTCGCAGAATGCTCCAGTCGCAAAATGCTCCAGTCGCAGAATGCTCCATTCGCAGAATGCTCCAGTCGCAAAATGCTCCAGTCGCAAAATGCTCCAGTGACCAAAATGCTCCAGTCGCAGAATGCTCCAGTCGCAGAATGCTCCAGTCGCAAAATGCTCCATTCGCAGAATGCTCCAGTCGCAAAATGCTCCAGTCGCAAAATCCTCCAGTCACCAAAATGCTCCAGTCGCAGAATGCTCCATTCGCAGAATGCTCCAGTCGCAAAATGCTCCAGTTGCAAAATGCTCCAGTCACCAAAATGCTCCAGTCGCAGAATGCTCCATTCGCAGAATGCTCCATTCGCAAAATGTTCCAGTCGCAAAATGCTCCAGTCACCAAAATGCTCCAGTCGCAGAATGCTCCATTCGCAGAATGCTCCATTCGCAGAATGCTCCATTCGCAGAATGCTCCAGTCGCAAAATGCTCCAGTCACCAAAATGCTCCAGTCGCAGAATGCTCCATTCGCAAAATGGTCCAGTCGCAATATGCTCCAGTCGCAGAATGCTCCATTCGCTAAATGCTCCAATCGCAAAATGCTCCAATCGCAAAATGCTCCAATCGCAAAATGCTCCAGTCGCAGAATGCTCCATTCGCAGAATGCTCCAGTCGCAATATGCTCCAGTCGCAAAATGCTCCAGTCACCAAAATGCTCCAGTCGCAGAATGCTCCATTCGCAGAATGCTCCAGTCGCAATATGCTCCAGTCGCAAAATGCTCCAGTCACCAAAATGCTCCAGTCGCAGAATGCTCCATTCGCAAAATGGTCCAGTCGCAATATGCTCCAGTCGCAGAATGCTCCATTCGCAAAATGGTCCAGTCGCAATATGCTCCAGTCGCAGAATGCTCCATTCGCAAAATGCTCCAATCGCAAAATGCTCCAATCGCAAAATGCTCCAATCGCAAAATGCTCCAGTCGCAGAATGCTCCATTCGCAGAATGCTCCATTCGCAGAATGCTCCAGTCGCAGAATGCTCCAGTCGCAGAATGCTCCAGTCGCAGAATGCTCCATTCGCAGAATGCTCCAGTCGCAAAATGCTCCAGTCGCAAAATGCTCCAGTCACCAAAATGCTCCAGTCGCAGAATGCTCCATTCGCAGAATGCTCCATTCGCAAAATGCTCCAGTCGAAAAATGCTCCAGTCACCAAAATGCTCCAGTCGCAGAATGCTCCATTCGCAAAATGGTCCAGTCGCAATATGCTCCAGTCGCAATATGCTCCAGTCGCAAAATGCTCCAGTCACCAAAATGCTCCAGTCGCAGAATGCTCCATTCGCAAAATGGTCCAGTCGCAATATGCTCCAGTCGCAGAATGCTCCATTCGCTAAATGCTCCAATCGCAAAATGCTCCAATCGCAAAATGCTCCAATAGCAAAATGCTCCAGTCGCAGAATGCTCCATTCGCAGAATGCTCCATTCGCAGAATGCTCCAGTCGCAGAATGCTCCAGTCGCAGAATGCTCCAGTCGCAGAATGCTCCATTCGCAGAATGCTCCAGTCGCAAAATGCTCCAGTCGCAAAATGCTCCAGTCACCAAAATGCTCCAGTCGCAGAATGCTCCATTCGCAGAATGCTCCAGTCGCAAAATGCTCCAGTCGCAAAATGCTCCAGTCACCAAAATGCTCCAGTCGCAGAATTCTCCATTCGCAGAATGCTCCATTCGCAAAATGCTCCAGTCGCAAAATGCTTCAGTCGCAGAATGCTCCATTCGCAGAATGCTCCAGTCGCAAAATGCTCCAGTCACCAAAATGCTCCAGTCGCAGAATG